TCATCTGACTGAAATAAATGCACGTTGTTTGACTCAGTGAAGTGATAACTAAGAAATGTTCATTCTATGTCAACATTATTTCGTAATTTAAAGCATTATAAATGATATGTCGTTTTAATACCGTCCAGTTTAGTGCCTTCACTCAATTGGATGAAGTCGAAAGTACAAGCAGTAATTAATCTAGGATCAAAACTGTCCTCGCTTACACTAAAAAATTCACAGCCATCCGTTGTACGAGATTCCATCAGATGTAACATTAAGATTCTGTCACAAATACATGCAAAAAAGTGAATATTTTCGCGCATTGTAAATTAATTGGAATATGAAGCTTGTTTTGTTGGCTCTGATATCTTCATGATCAGTTTCCATATTGTGTCAATTATTTACCAAATGAAGTGATAGAAAGGCTAGTTTCAAATACAAATGTCACAACAGTTGTTTTTCAGATGTGAAAATGTATGAGTGTCCACATTCCGATTGTAATGCGACCATGCATGGCAAAACGGAATATAACGAACATTTCCAAACGCACCCTAAACCATTTCGTTATCAATGCAAGCATCCTGGTTGTGGGAAAGAATTTGAGAAATCAACAACATTTTCCAAGCACAAAAAATTCTGTCAACACAAATCTCAGAGTAAAATCTTCAGTTTTAAACAATCACTGAGAAGACATAATAAATGTTCCCGCAAAGCTCAGTTTTGCAAATTCAGCAGGGTTTTTAGCATTTATATATCTACCTCTAATGAAATCCCGTCAAAATATGTTACGAAATATCTGTGACCGCGAGTCACTTCCTTTGGCACAATACAATGACATCTAAGAAATGTTCATTCTAGGCCAAGCGGAAGATAATCCGCAGTTGGAACATACTTTGGCAGACACACGAAATCATCACATTGCCGGTCAAAGTTCAGTGGGTCAACAAGATCGCTCAAGTGACGAGTATCTATTAGAAAGGATGAACGCCTTCGATGATCCCGACGATAGCATCTTCGACGGTCTTAACATCGACGATGTTGCTGTTGACGTCGAAGATATTAACATCGACGATGGTGACATCTTCGATGGTGTTGTTATCAATGAATGAATGAATGCTCACCCATGTATTGCGTATTATTTATTTGTCATTTCAAAATATTTCGAAATTGAAATAAAAAATGGAAAAACAGCTAACAATGGTTAGCAATGCTAACAACTTGTTGTTTTTGAAATTTTTTTTACGCTGCTGATCACATCAATATTTGTTAAATCATGAAATATATGTCCTCATATTTCTTCACTATCGGTGCTTCCACACAATTGATTTAGCGGCTTAATTGTTAGTAATGTTCAGGTAGTTTAACACACAAAATTTACTTAAATGCATTAATACCCACATATTCACAATAGTGTCACAATAATACATCGAAACTTACCAATCAATACAAAAAATACCTCTAAACGAAGCAATTTAAACAAGGGAAAATGAAATGCTGTCACAATTAAAGCATTTAAATGACAGAAGATATGTGCTCGAAAATTTACCGTTTAATGTTATTTTGAAATTATTAACATTAACATATTTGTCTAATCGACGAACGTATTTAGTTGTACAGGTGTTAATCAATTAGCGCAAATGAAAAGCTGAGAATATAACTTGTCAGCCAGGTGTATCAACCCGAATAAAACGGAAATTTTACAAAATGATTCTGAGATGATAAAACTTGGCATAATATTTTTGGTTTAAAATTTTGTATCATTTGTTGTTTTTCGTCAGGTCTTTCAGTACTGCAGTATTTAGTGTTTTAATTATTATGATGGCATGAAATCGTTCTGAAATAGATACTACAGTTTTGAAATTTCTGAAAAATTTGTGGTGATTAACATTTTTTATGCTTTTCTTCGGTTTCAATTCAGCGCTCT